CATTTGCATAAAGATGCATTTCAATAGAAGTGATGGTTAGGGTGCACGAAAACACTTGTTTCGGCATGATGGATACATTTGTAAACAATTTTTACGGGATTGTGAGGTTAGAGTTAATTTCATTTGGCTCGTGTTGTCGCGACATTTATGGTTGTGCGTTAGACTAATGTGCTATATGTGTGTGCATAAGCGTGTATGGATAGTCAGCACCTAGTTATAGATAGATAGATATATGTATGCATATATATAACTAGGTGTTGATATATATACATATACAACTAGGCACTGATGTATATGTACACATATATATATATATGTAACTAGGTGTTGACTATCCATACACACTTATGCACACACATATAGCACATTATTCTAACGCACAACCATAAATGTTGTGTATATGTATGTATATGTATATATGTATATGTATGTGTATATATGTATGCGTATATATGTATGTGTATATATGTATGTGTATATATACATGTATGTATATATGTATATATGTATATATGTATGTGTATATATATATGTGCATATATATAACTGATACAAGGAACAAAGGTTATATAACGTAAAGGAAATAAAAAAAAAAAATACTGACGCGTCTGTGGAGAGCCGAAGCACCCCAGAGCAGCAACTCTGGATGCCGGAGGTGAGGAAAAGTGCTTTTATATCCCGATGGCCATAGATCACAAAGATTGCATGAAACTCTAAAGGGGGTAAGGTGTTCAAAGATTGAACGGGGGACCAGGGGTGTTGCATTCTAGTGGCGCAGTGGTCACTTACGCAGTTTTTAATAAAAAGCAATAAATCATTGTGTGACACTGCGCTGGAAGTGTGATACCATCCGGTCTGTTCCTGAATGCTTTCACTTCTTGCTGTGAGTGATTATTGAGTGAAGAACTGAAGAAGGAGTGTTTTCGTTCGTTCAAGCCAACAGCTTAAATAAGTTTACGGGAAATCCGAAAAAACTGCCGTTAGGTTGGAGACGGATTGTTAAAGGGTAGCACACTGTTTTAAGCATTTTAGATCGTTACTAATGCCACAACAAATTGGAGTAATGGCCGAAGGCACAGTTCGTACAAAGAAACCAGCAACAGTGGATGAGATGAATTTGAAATCTGTACGGCGATTGGATCCATGTGCAGTGACAATCATTGATAAGGTTTTT